ATTCTTTCTAAAGTTTGTGAAAAAGCTGTCCACATTCAAATGGCAGCTCTTGAGGAAAACAACACCGTTTCTTCACTTCAAAGTGGAAATAGGAAATAGTACTTAACCGAAACATCGCTTCTCTACTAACCGACGAAATATTAAAGAACATGGACCATCTTCTTAATTGTCCTTCTCGACATGTCAAAGACGTTTGACAGTATCAACCATCGAGATAAGGAACTGCGGTTTTGCACCATCCATCGTAGAGTGGTTTAAAAGTTATTTATCCTCCCGCAGCAAGTTGTCACCGCAACGTACAATTATATCATCTCCCTTATTGTTTACCTTGTACATTAAACACCTTGTTCCTAAACATTGTAATGCGATGGGCAACGTTGATGATACCAAACTATTCCTTGCGTTTCCCTCAAACAAAATTACTGAAGCTGTCCAAGGCCTCGACAGCAGTGATCATGTAGTCAAGTGGTGTTRTGCAAATCAGCTGTTACTAAACCCAGTAAAGACCAAGGTCGTAGGCATCGGTGTTCCAAAGCGACTCAAAAGACTCCAAACAATTTCGGTATCAATGGAAAAATATTTCYAAGGACATTAAATGTTCCATTTGTCCTGTGTTTCGTTGTGCATGTCTAGTGTCCTGTTCCTTGTTTTGCGTATTGTGAGGTGCGCATGCGTGCTGCGCAGCCTCGTGTTTTGTGTTGCCGTGATCATATTTGGTGACTTTTTTGTGCCTTTTTTCTTTCTTTTGATTTGTTTTTCGTGTATTCATGTTTGTAAATGTTCATTGTGTTTTTTTTTTCTGTTTAGGTTTTCACGGTTGTCCAGTTGAAGAAACCCCAAGACGAAACCCCAAAAAGGGCGCTATGGTTTTGATAGTCATGATAGTGGACAACACAATGCCAAGATCTAGATGGCTCCTCGGTCGCGTACTCAAGATACTACCAGGAAAAGATGAAGACAAGGAAGTCAGTTCTGTGCAGTCCCACAAATCTATGTCACGTGAACTGCAGGAAAGTTTATGATGTCTGTGGGCCAAGTTTAAAGAATTTTCCTTTTCTCAAGGGAAACACTGACTTATCACCGAACGTTTATATAAGGTTTGATCAGCCTGGCCCCTAGTTATACAAGTTTATGTTCAGTTTGCCCTGTGTTTCACCATAGTTAGTAACTATGGTTTCATGAGCATGTCTAGTGCTTTCTTTAGAGAACGAGAAAATCTTATATGTAGTTGCTACGCGTCAACGCGTGCTACGCTTCAAAATTGGTGTATCGGTACACCTGTGTGTATATACTTACATTGTATACACGTATGYCATTGCAGTACCTGAAGTATATATTGCATGCGAATAAAATAAGTTTGTTTTGAATGCGTAGAATATTACATCCTAAATAAAAAATTGTGAGTTTGAAAAAAATTTGATAGATTAATTGTACGCATTGACGCGTAACGCGTAGCCAAAAAAAATATGTCTATATTAAGGTGTCTATATACCTTTACCATAATGGCTGCAATTGTGTTTTTCCAAAATAAAATAGATATGGTTATTTTGTCTCTGTAACATTAAAGAACTATCAGAAATAAACGTTTTTGGAACGTTTTAAAACTCAGGAAAAAATAGGAAAAAAGTTATGGTGAAATAAAAATACAAAGAAATGTATGTAATTTTCCACCAATGGCTGTCTGTCTGTTTGTTTCTGAATATGAAATATGTTAAAACTTTTTCACTGTCATGTGAATGAACTGCCAGAAATAAACATTTCTGGAAAGTTTTAAAATTTTATGTTAATTAGATGGCGGCCATTATCATGGTAAAGGTGTATACTAAGGTGGCTACGCATCAACGAGTAGAGGAGGTGCGGGGTATTCGATAGTTGTACCTCAAATGGAATAATTGAAATATTAGAGCACAGAATAGCAAGCATTAATAATCTGTTGATTGAACACCTTTCTCAAGACAATTGTCTTCTCACATACATACATCAACATCTAAACCGCTTTGAGGTCTGCAAAGGTTGKTGTGATAAGGAGACACTGCCACCTCCAAATACCAACTGGAAATTAGGGAGGCTATACACATACTGTAAAATGGCTTAATCCRTTGTTGAACCAACAAGGCTGTTGTTTTTTTAATTACATTTTATATCAAATCCTACTGCTACGTCCTTTTATAAATAATCTCTCTTTGACAATATCGACATTTTGCTATTCTCCCTGAAAACATTGTTTGAAATAGGTGTATGCAGTATACTCCAACTTTATTTCATATGTAGTCTCCTTCRCRTCAGTTTTCGTGTCWGGCTTCATGGGGAGGGMCAGGAAGCCCAACACGAAAATGGTGTAAAGGAGACTATTTAATATGCACTTYAACTGAATTTCAAGAATTTGTTTTCACATTTAAAAATCTATATCTTAGCAKTCCCACCTGGTGAAGTAATAATGGTATACTTTTTGCTGTATACTCCAAATCATTGCATGTATCCATTTCCTCCTGCATCACATCAGCTTGTATAATCAGTGGTTGTGCTTCTCTAACCTACAACAATGTACATTATAATCTGAAATATCAGCTGGAGCATTACTTCAAGTTAAAATAATCTAATATAATCTTTTTACAAGATTAGCTAGAGTAAGCATAGCAATAGCTAGAGTAACATACCTGAAGACCTTTTTCAATGGCGATTTTTCTCTCGCGTTTAAAGTGCTCAACATCTTTGGGCAATGGAACAGATCTTAAAAGCAAAGGCCATATATGATCACCTTATTAAATAAGTATCAAATCTAAAGCACATAACTTATTTCAAAAATGTTGCCTGGATGGATGGTGAAGCGATTTTCAAACGGAGATACATTGACCAAATTTGACTATGCATGGTTGCTCCTTTTTGACACTCAAATAAAATTTGTATATCTCTGCATACCCATGTAATATCCTATATATTTAACAAATGTCAATACAATTTTATCATGTTGTATTGGCTTCAAAAAAATTTTACCATTAGCAGTGTGGGTTTGGTATCAGATAGAGGGCATACAACACGAGGTGACAGCAGACATACATGTACATATACATCGATATAGAGATTGGCAACACATCAAAAGGATAGCCAAGGAGATTATTGCATGTTCTCAAGAAAATAGCATCATAAAAAAAACACAATGCGTACAATTTGAAAAAGAGTGAAATGAAAATATCATGGAGTCTTTAAAAAATGACAGTTCACTAAGTTGCATTTACAAATATTTACATGTGTAAAACTTAAAGTTACTAATTGTAAGTAAATACATTTTAACCGAGACCATGTAAGTCCTTTTTTTCTTGTCAAGGCCAATCTTAACATGTCGTGTACCAACAAATATTGAACAATCATATGTATGATTACATATACAAGTAATGAGTTGGAATGCAAATCTCTTTTTTCCAAGTATCTCAATCACATGTTCAATTGAACCCTAATATCAAATCAGAGTTAGTAACTAACTCTGATTAAATGGCCTACTTAAAACCTATGGTATAACAACAATCATGGTTTCTCCTCATATCTATACAATATATGGCCAATATACTATACACTCAGCTGTAGATTTGTG